GAACTAGAAAAGGTGCTTTGGTGTTTTCCAAATCCAGTCTGGGTTTTTCCCCCTTTTCCCTTTTTGAACTGATAGGCTATCAATAGTCGGAATCATGCATCCATGGAAGACGGAAGAAAACTGGAATCTTAAATAGCTTTACACAAAACAAACAAGCCCAGCCTTGCAGTCAGTGCAAACAAAAAACATTTTTGCAACTAAATCTCAAAGGTTGAGCAAGTCTCACTTCTTAACGATGATAGAAAGAGGTTTTAAGTGGGTTGGTTAATCATTTCAGCCTATCATACAGTATTTAGCCTTTTTCAAAGAAGGCCTCTCTCTGATCAGGAGTTTTGCAACAGAAAACATGAATTTCTGTAAATTGAGAGAAATTCTATTTTTCCTCTGAAATTAAGTATATAAGAAAGTATTACAAAGTGTTGTTGTAGTTTAAAAAGTTGTTAAGGTTTTTCTGTAAACATAACTGATTACAAAACCAGATTTGTGTGTCTTCTGTTAATACAGTAGATAAATGACATTGTTCAACCTACAGCTGTGTTTTGTTTTCCTGCCGCCACCCTGGAGGAGCTGTGTGTGCACATATAACAAAGGGGAAACTCTAAACCAGCATAAAAACCTCAAACAAAAAGGTCAAACATGTCAAAAAGGGCATTTTTCTTTTTATCTGATCACCTTTTAATGTATTTTTTTTTAATCCTGATTTTTAAGGATTTTAACAGCAATTATTAACATTTTAGCAGGTTAAATATCTGAAATCTAAACCAAAACTTGTTTCCTAGCTGAATGCATTTACAATCAGCCTGATATAACTGGTTAGATGTGCGGTTCCCATGGGAAGACTGCAAGATGGAAATGTTGGATAATAATTTACATTTAGGCAAACATAAGCTGTAGGATCCAGAGAACTACCTCTTTATTGATTCATGTGATGTGTCACATGTCTTATAACTGTAACCCCTGGTGTACAAATCTACATAAGCGGTTAACATAATCTTTAAAAATATATTTGAAAACAGAATATAAAAGCTTTTCGAATTGCTCAATTTGTGTCTTTGCATGTAACCCAAAGTATTGACTATCAATGTATTTCCGGTTTGGGCATTTAATTTCAAAATAAAGGTAACAGAATAAATAAAATCATGATGATGACCGAATAGAGATCATAAATTAAACCACAACGGACAAAATAACCTGATTTGGATATTTATCTATTTTATGCAAGTACTGCCTTAAGGTGGGCTGGGATAATTGGTTCCAAAACACTGTCATAGATGATAAATGTGGCCTCCTTTTATCAGTAATATTTAAATTCATATGAAGGTAATTAATCCAGATGATAAAAACAGCACAAAAAAAGAAAAAAAAAAAGAATAACAATAAAAAAATAAATAAATAAAAGTAGATATATGAAAAACTTAGTACGTTTTTGTTTTCAAACCAAACCGTGATTGGGTAAAGCACTTTTAAGAGCTAAATAAGGATTGATGCACAGCTCCTTATTACCGTGTATAAAACCCAAAAACAAATTCAGTTCAATTTCAATTCAGTTTATTTCTATAGCGCCAATTCACAACACATGTCATCTCAAGGCACTTTCTAGTTCACCAGATCATCCAGTCAAATTGATTCAAAGTTTTCTATCTAAGGAAAACCAGTTGATTGCATCGACTCATTGACTCCAAGGCAATCTCTCACACTAAGCATGCTTGTAGCAACAGTGGAGAGGAAAAACTCCCTTTTAACATGAAAAAAACTCCCGCAGAAGCAGGATCAATGTAAGCGGCCATCTGCCGAAGCCGACTGGGGTTCAAGGAGAGAGAAGCAGAGATACAGAAAGCAGCTTTAAAAGGCGGCCCAGTCCAGGAAACACACAGCCAGGCAGACGAGCTCAGTCAGTCACAGTCAGAGAAACAGGACTACACTGGAAAAACGGACCGATCTCCAACATTTATAAACAAAGGTGTTGATGGCAGCAGCACAGGTGATATTTCTCTCCAGGATGGAATCACAGCCAAACAGGAACAGCCCAAATGAAAGAAACTATGTGAAACATAATTGTTTTATATTCTGAGAAGAGATTTAATTTTAGAAGCATAAAAAAAAAAATATTATCACAAAATGTTTTTAAAATTTGCATCATTTTGTAGGTTTAAAGTTGAAGTTCAATTTTTTTATTTGTTGTTTTCTTCTGCGAAATTTGGTAACTTTATTTTGAAACGCCGCACCGGATGTGACTGTGTCTGCTTGCGGAAGTCTTCTGCCGTCGCCTCTCAGTTCTCGCAGTCGCTGCTGCAACGGATGGACGCGAACAGCGGGGAGAGACATCAACGGGGGACCGTTTCACCGAGCAGTTAGCCGTCTGTTGGATGTATCGACATTTTTCAACCTGAAGACGTTTCATCTGAGTGGCGGGAAAAGAAAAATCCCTTCTTTTTTTTCTTTTTAAATCGCTTCCATTTTCTTCCCCCCCAAAAAACACACTCAGATCGATCGCCCGTCGTTTGAAAAAGGGCGTGTGTTCGGGGTGAGGGGTAGTTTGTTGAAGATTTCATGTGGCTATATCTGGTGTGTTAGAGATTTTTTTTTTTATTTTTTTTTTATATAAATTGAAACCATTTGGTCTGAAGGACGTGGTAGAGGATGGGGTGCACGTTGAGTACCGAAGACAAGGCGGCGGTGGAGCGCAGTAAAATGATCGACAGGAATCTGCGGGACGACGGCGAGAAGGCGGCGAGGGAGGTCAAGCTGCTGCTGCTGGGTGAGGAGGAGGGGGGAGGCCGGGCTGGGGAGGGACTCCGCTAACTTCTTTGTCTGTTTAAAAAGCACAAAAAACCGAAAAGAGAGGAAAAAGCACTAATTCCCAATTAGCTTTTTGATATTTCAGGAAAAAAAATGTCTTTCCTTCCGCACCGTTAGCACCGCACCTTTTTTAGCTAACTGTTTCTTCACCTCCTCGTGCGAAATCCGGGTTTTAAGCTAGTTTTACTTATTTTTTTTACTCCTTTTGACGCAATAAATCCGTTTATAATGTGAGGTTCTGACTTTAACCCTTTAAAAGTTTTTCTTAGTTCTTAGTTTTGTTGGCCTCCTCCTGTTTCTGACCAAACATTGGTGCATTTTCTCAGGCTGCTTCAGAGCAGAAGCTAAAATCAGCCTAATATTCAGTAGAGGCCTTTTTATTGTAACTTATTAATGTCTTTTAGCTCCTTGTTTAGCTGTGTAGCACACAAGCCTGAGTACCAGAAGGGTTTAAATGTTTTTCCATATGTGATCAGTGGTGCACCCAAATGGGGGGCCAAAGGGGGCTGAGCCCACATGTGTAATTCAGTGTGATTCAAATTTGGCATATTTGAAGTAAAAAAAAAAAGGAATAAAAGATCAAAATCTGACATTGTTTATAAAGTTAGTAAATGTGCTTTAGAATAGTTTGTTTTTATATAAGATTTTTACCAAATTTATTCCATTTGGATTTCTTTCTTAACCCTTTATAGCTCAAATTACCATTTTTGATCACTTGCATGACCCTAACAAATGGAGTTAGGGGTATGCAAGGCTTCTAGTGCTCAGTGAGGTCTAGAAGCACAAGATCTATAACCAGCACAGATACTTCTACATGGCTGTACATCTTATTTTGGCATTTGACCAATTAGATGAGCAATTAGATGAAAAAAGTTAAGTAAATAAAATGCAAAAAGTGAAGTTAAAAAGTTAATAAGCTTAGTTAACAATCATATTTAGGTTTATGAATATAAAAAAAAATGTGCCAGTGTCAGTATTAATGCCTCTTTCACTCTGAGTGTTTTTCTTGAATTTCTTATAGAAGCACTTTTATTGTTCTTAATATATTCAGGCAAGTTGGCATTGCTTCCTTTTTTTCCCCATCAAAACATCCATATTTTTTAAATGTTACAAAGGTAATAAGGTCTTGTCCTGGATTCCAATAACACTATTGGCTTGAAATTTTGATTTTCTAAGTATTTCACTGGGTGCCCTATAAAGGGTTAAGGGCAGATTAGACTTCTGCAACCGCACGTGTCACATGTGGCTTGGATCTGGACGCAAACCAGTTTTGCTGGTATGCTTCTGCACCGTCGGTCTGGAATTTGGAGGGACGCACAGCAGTTTCCTGCCAAAGCGCAAGGGGGAGCCTTTTCACGAACTCGCAAGAACTTTGGCGGATGGTCAGGAAAACTTCGTTTTGGCAGAGACCTTGGCATCTTTGTATAATTTGTCTGAGGCATCGTACAAGTGGTTCTTTCGTCGTAGTTGTCCATTGTAGATGTTCCTCGTTTTTTTTAGACAGAGACAGATTTGACGGTTGCAGAGGCTATGCGTCAGAAGCATAAATTGGCCTTTATATGTCCAAGCTAAAAGGGTTTACAGTATAAGAGTGTATTTATTTTTATGTACCATTTGGGCTGATTCACTGCTCTGTCAACATATGGCATATTTTAGAGTTGGTTGACTTTAGTTTTAGTCTTTGATTTATGCACATTTCCATCAGATTCTAAATTTCATATTCTTTTACATAAATCTGTTCCTCCCTTTGTTGTTTTTTTCTGGTTAAATGGATTTAGTTGTTCTTAAACTGTATTTAATTAGGACGTTTTTCTTCGAAACTCTGTTTCTTCAATTTAAATATTTGTTTTTAAGCTGTAAAACCAAAAGCGGAAGCTGTGGCCGATAAAGGCTGTCCTCTTTTTAATGGGAATATCATTGTAAAGATTTGAAGAGACTTAATAGGCAATAAAACCCCTTAGATAAAATATTTCTAGTGAATAACTAGTCGTTATTTATCCTGATACAGTAAGAAAAACGATCTATTAAGATTTGTATAACATAGCTCTGGTTGTTGCTCTGCTGCGGAGCTGAATAATAGGATCTTTGATGGTGCGCTGCCAACTAGTGGCTTGTTTTAAATGTTGTATAACAGTAAATTGATGTTTGTCTACAACAACTGTTTCACATTTTAGGTCCATTTTGGCCATATTTCAGTTTTATTCCAATATTATCCAATAAAAAATTGCAATGTTGGACAGAATCCGATTGTATGCTTTACGCCATGCTGTATAAGGGCTTGGTAATTAATTGCATTTGCAATATAGTCTCAATTTAATATTTTACGTTTTAATCCAACTAGATTTAACAAGAGTCAGACATTTCCCACCCCAGTTTTTTAGGCGGCGGTAAAACACTCTAAGTGGGTTTGTCGCCACACAGAAAGGTAGGTAGTTTTGCGGCTAGCATGCAGGTCCATCTATAAAAAGTAGAAGTAAGCACTTTTTTGCTCAAAGATGACAGTAAAGTCCAACAACAATGGATGCTGGGCAAGGAGGCTTTCAAAAATTGAAAGACAGGGGTTAAAAAAACTACAAGTTTGGGGTTAGGGAAGAGGAAAATCGAAATAAAAATGCAATTTTGCTTAAAAATAGTTGTAATTTTGATTTTTGGCAAAATCTTTTAAGCCCTACACCATATTAATAACACAACAACTGGAATTGAGTTGATTTTCCATACTTAACTATTTGCTATTTACACAGGAAGTTACGTTTAGCAAATCTTCTTTTGTGTGTGTGTGTGTGTAATATTTTTGTTTATTACCTTTTACTTTCCTTTCTGTGGACACATAGGCTTACCACCACCTAAGTTTAACATATGTTTTGGGCCACCCTGTCATAAATTACCACCCCCATCAGGGAATCCCTTTAAGCTTTCAAGAGAGTCCTCTTTCTTTCTAAACCAGGAGGCCACATTTAGATGCTTGTTTTTATGGTTCAAGTTCCAAAAGATCTAAACTGAAATCTCTGAATTGGAGGGTGGGTTCAGAAAATCACATCTGTTGTTGTGGAACTAAGTTTGATTTAACCAGAAGCCACATAAACATCAGCATTCAGGCGCATTGTCACTGTTCACCTTAAATAGCCAGGCCTCTCCTCGTTACCCTGTCATCACCATCGTTCTGGCAATAACTAATTTTTACTGGCCTTTGTGCATCCAAAAGATCTTCCAAACCACACAGTGCAGCCCTATTATTTTGCTTTATATAAACACCCTCACACATGCTATTTAAACAGGGCACCACACCCTGCAGACTCCATCTGCATGTTACTGTTATCATTTAATGCATTTAATGCAGGCCTGTGTGCCGTTGATGGTAGCAGTGGAAACATTCGCTTTCCCTGTCTGTAAAATGGCTGCAGGTGGGAGGTTTTTCCACGGGCGCCATAGGTGGCTCGCTTGGGGAAGTGTTGACATGCACACATATTGGTATGTGGGTTAGCAGGACACAAAGTTTAAAGCCGGAGATACACAGTGTGATATTTTCAATCGTCGCACGTCGCTCTAGCTCAAACTGTACGATGAAACTGCAGGGTTTAAAAGTTCACAGCGACCCAACGCTTGGATGCGACTTTACCTTGGACAACTTCCTTTCAAAGATGTTTCGTTTTCTCCCGCCTTTCGGTTTCTTGTTGGGGGGTTGTTGTTGGGGGGTTATTTGCCCCTCGTGACCCCGTGTACACTACTACAATCAGGCTGAAAGTCGACCAGGTGGAAAAATTCTCCCAGGATTGGAGAATTGCCCCAAAAAGGGGCAAAAAATCATACTTTATGCCCAGCTTAAGGCCTGGAAGCTCAATTGTAGGAGCTCTCTGCATTATTTTTGTATCTGATTGTGGGACAGAGCAAGACTAACAGTTTGACTTGTTTTTTTTTTTAGCACAGATCAGCTAAAATGCAAAAACTCCTAAATTAACTTCAGCCTCTGTATCTTGCTTTAAAATGCTCAATGGTTTATTGAAGGTTGGTGAAATTGAAGTGTGTGGTTTGCCTTGTTTTAGGTAGAAAGCAGGTTTTTTTGCATTGAGGGTAAACACATTCCTCATGCACCCTGGAACCTGACAAGACTTGCTGACTGAAAGTAAGCAAGTTAGGTCAGGTTTTGGTTAACGCTCCAGAAAGCTCCAGCTTTCACCAACCATTGCTTTCACACAAACGGTGACGTTGCTGTCCAAGTTAATGATAGAACAGCCTGCGGTGACGGTCGAGGGAACAGGTAGTGTGGCGGCGCCGTAGCCTTTCGTTTGCGTTCGATCCGAATGCCGTGGTAACCAGGTAACCCACTCGGCCTCTTCGGGTTACGGCCTGAAGTGACATGCAGAAGAAACAGAAAAGGCCCTAACGGAGGCAGCAGAAAGGAACGGCTGTAAGATGAGAGCACAGCTAATGAATAGTAAATGAAAGAACCAGAAAACCGGAGCGAGACGTCAGCGCTGCTTATCTTGCACATAAACAGTTGGCAAAAAAGACATTATTGTGGAGGTTCCTGCTTCGCAAGCAGCTCAGGCGTGTTTTACTCCAAGCACATCCTGTCGACACAGATAAAAAGGTCAACAAAAGCTCGTGGATCGACTGCAAATGAGCGGAATGGCTGAAAGGAGGCACACACAAAAACGTTGCACATGGAAATAAAGTGGAACTGCTGTGACACCCATTTGTCTAACAGTGGTCTAAGTTTCAAAGAGAACATCTAATCCTGACGCTTTTGAGCGGTTTTATGCTTTATTGCTTTTTCTTAAAAACCTTAAGATAAAATTTTTGCCAGGGTTTGTGGTAAATTAACTGATTCTGTAAGGTTAAGATAAAAATGAGAATCTTTATTATTTTTGTGTCCAAACTGATCATCTCAGACTCAGAATACACTCAGTGAATCTGTAACCTAAAGTTTCCCAGCTGCCTGTACGACTTCATAACTGTGGG